GTGGGCTGTAGTCCACGAAAGCTTATGCTCTAATAAATTTGTTAGTCTCTAAGGTGCCACAAGTACTCCTGTTCTTCTTTTTGCGGATACAGACTAACATGGCTGCTACTCTGTAACTTCAAGGAAAATAACACCAGCCTTTCGTGCTCTGTTTCGTCCTCCAGTTTGCACTAAGAAGCTAACACAGGCAAAAGGGAGTGAAATTGAAGAGATGGAGAGGGTCTCACTAAACTGGGTGACTAGGTGACAAAATGGCAGGTGAAATTCAGTATTGATAAGTGCAAAGTAATAAACATTGGGGAAAAAACAATCCCAACTGTACGTACAAAATGATGGGGACTAATTTAGCTGCTCCCACTCAAGAAAGATCTTGGAGCCACTGTGGATAGCTCCCTGAAAACATCCGCTCAATGTGCAGTGCCACTCAAAGAGCTAACAACGTTCAGAACCATTAGGAAAGGGATAGATAAAAATGAAAATATCAGAATGCCACAACATAAATCTATGGTACATCCATACCTTGAATACTGCATGCAGGTCTGGTCACCCCGTCTCAAAAAAATATATTGCATTGGAAAAGGTACAGAGAAGGACAACAATAATTATTAGGGGGATGGAACAGCTTCCATGTGAGGAGTGATTAAAGAGCCCGGGACTGTTCAACTAAGCAAAGAGATGACTACGGGGGTGGGGTATGACACAGGTCTATAAAATCATGCATGTATGTGGAAAATGTGAATAAGGAAGTGTTATTTACTCCTTCACATAACAAGAACTAGGGTCACCCAATGAAATTAATAGGCAGCTCATTTAAAACAAACCAAAGGAAGGACTTCTTCACACAAGGCACAATCAAATTGTGGAATTTGTTGCCATGGGATGTTGTGAATGTCAAAAGTATAACAGGGTTCAAAAAAGAATTTAAGTTCCTGGAGGATAGGTCCATCAATGGCTATTAGCCAAGATGGTCAGGGATGAAACTGCATGCTCCAAGTGTCCCTAAACCTCCGACTGCCAGCAGGGGACTGGATAACAGGGATGGATCACTCAAAATTGCCCTGTTTTGTTCATTCCCTCTGAAGTATCTGGCACCAGCCACCACTGGGAAACATGATACTGGGCTAGATGGAGCATTGGTCTGACCCAGTACGGCTGTTCTTACATTCTTATGAAAAAGATGTAAAAAAACAAAACAAAACCAAAACAAAAACACATTCCAAAGCCAGTAAAGGCAATGAGGTTGCATAGGAATCACCAAGGACATAATCTGAAGACAATTAAGTGGTTTCACAGAAGACATAATTTGGCCATACAGAACCATTATTATTGGTAGTAATACCTTAGAAGGAACAAACCAAGCCTGACTCGCTGATTCAGACTGAATTATGCAGACCTAACAGCTGGGGATTTTTATTTTATTTATTTAAACTAAACTGACTATTTCCTACAAAAAATACTGAGAGAAACAGGCCTACAATGGTATTTGTAAAGGGTTTTATTTTGGGGCGATCGGGGGGGAGAAGAACTGCACGGGAAGGTGTCTAAATTTCTCATCTTCGTGGATCTGTCAAGATATTCAAAATACTGAGGGATTCAGCTTCCCCAGTGGAGATCCCAGCTTCAATGCTCTCTAGGCTTTTCCAACCCTCTTTTGTACAGAAACTTCTCTCACACTCTGGTATTGACCATCATTACTTTAACTCAAGTCAAGATTGCAGTGATTATTGCTTGTAATTAACACCTACCGATAGGCTGGGCTCATAACCTTCTGAAGTTTACAGGATAAACTCAAAAAGCCTACTGTGCAATTGTAGTGATTTGAGTAAACTATGAGCTTGTTTGCCCTATTTGTAAAAGTGCAAAGAGACCAAGTTCTGCCGTTTGTTTTTGTCTATGCCTGCTATCAGAAGAGATAAACGGTGCCATAACAGATAAGAACAAGACTGCAAACAGAGACACAAGTACAACTTCATTGCAAGCCAGCATATCAATTCTCTCATTGACTATTTAAAACTTCAGACTATATTACAAACACTGACTTATTAATAGAAAAAAAATTCCTTGACATATATTAGCTACACTTGGTAGAAGATCATGGAGGGTGGGAGGGAAAGGAGACAAACATAATACCACAAGAGATTCCAGTCTGTAGCCTGAGTCCTGCAAACACTTACAGATGTGTATAATTTTACTCACATGAGCAATCCCATTGAACTCACAACGGGACTCCTCATGCAAGTCAAGTTAGGCCTACGTCTAAGGGTACACTGCAGATGGAAGCAAGCCTGGGCAGACAGACTTGCGCTAGCAAGGGCTTGTAAGGTAAGCACAATAAGAATAGCCGTGTGGACATTGGGACACTGGTGGAATCTGGGCTAGCCACTCGAGCTCAAGCCAATCCTGCCCTGTGGGTCCAAGCTCAGTGGTAGCCCATGCCTCTGCTGGTGCTGCAATAAACACAGCAATTTTTAGCACGGTAGCATGATCCCAGCCAACGCAAGTCTCTCTATCAAGGCTGGGAGGCTTGCTACCAGCTTCAGTATAGACATGACATATACCATGTGTTTGCAGGATAGTGCCTTTGTTTACCTTCCCTCTAAGGGCCCCGCACAGGGTCCTTGTGGGCTTCAAGTAGTTTAAAATGGAACTTTTCTTTGTCCACTATTATCTACAGCTGTAAAACTGACCAACTGGACCCCAACATTCCATTAGCTCAGACTCATCTTTTCACTGCCAGTGGAATGCATTCCACGCACAGCATTCCACTTGCAAGGATAACAGGGTCCCAAGACTGCTGAAAAAAAAATGTCTGCAGTTAGTCCATTTTACCATTATGCCATGGGGAGAAGTGTGAAAAGGGGTGGGGGGGGAAGCTTACACAGACATACAAAAGGATGGTTGATTATAGCTCCCCTTTAACAACCAGGATTTAAAATACAACCTGAAGTAACCTCTCATTGTTGTTGTCCATTCAGCAGCAGTAACCGCACAGCTCCGTTTCACTACCAGATAGATTCCTCTGTCCTTGTGAGTTTTGAGAATACAGTATTTCTTGTACGCCTGAGTTCTCCATGACTAATTTTTTATCATAAATTATGTACATAACTGATAATGACATAAAAATGAGAGCACAGCCTATGAAATAAATAGGCAGCTGGTTTTAAACAAACCAAAGGAAGGACTTCTTCATACAATGCACATTCAACCTGTAGGACGGAAACTCCCTTATTGGCAGTTACTGAAGATTTTAATCAGCACAACAAGCAACCAATGTCACTATTGTGATGCTGCAAGTATGGAAACAGAAATCATGATACTATGGACTATTTGTGGCTCATCTAGAAGTGGTTCTGTCAATACAGAGCTACAGGGAAAGAGATAGGGTGACCAGATGTCCCGATTTTATAGGGACAGTCCCGATTTGGGGGTCTTTTTCTTATATAGGCTCCTATTACCCCCACCCCCTGTCCCGATTTTTCACATTTGCTGTCTGGTCACCCTAGGAAGAGATGCAACTTATTTTTCCCCTTCCCAGAGGAGTTAGTGAAGATGAGGTTTTGTTTGAAATGTTTGTCTAGTTATACATTAGACCAAATATCTTTAAAGATAATTATACTATTATTAATAGTACTGTACCAGCAGTCTTTGACAATAACCGTACCCCTCAATAATAAAAAAAAAAATATCAGGAAGAATTCTCTCTCTTTAAAAAAGTAGCTTTTTAAAAATAAGGGCTTATGAAGCCAAGGTTTTCCAACGTTCCTATCAAGTGGATTTTACCAACAAGAATAGGTATCCGATATTATTTAACATAGAGAAAATTTCAGACAGTTACGTAAAGTCTTAATAAAGACCTTCAGTGGTGAAACTTATTGATACAGGACTCTGGAGGCTATCAAAATGCAAATTCTGATGGAAAACTTAGGGCCCTGTCCAAAGCTCATTGAAAGCAATACGGTGCTTTGGTCCTGAGCACAACTTCCCACAGCCACCACCTGCAAAATGAACATTATAAGAAATGAACATTCAGACAGATTTGTTACAGAACAGTTCTCATTAAGCAGTGTTTGAGGGAAGGCACTTGCGTTCAGGAACCCAGCAACACTACTGACTGAACTAGTTATCCTGCCAAAGCCAGCTGCTGCAAAGGAACTATTCTTGCCTCCAGTTTTATTGAACCACTTATCACCCTCGAATCACGATTTTTCTTTCAAATGTGAAAAATTAAATATTCACTATGGAAACAGCTAAAGAGTTGGCCATGGAGTTACATGAAATACTACTGATTAGAAGACACTAATTTCAATGGTACCCCACAGTACTAAAACAAAGCTTATATGAAAAGGCAGAATTAAGCCTTAAAAAAAATTGAGCTATTTGTTTTAAGAAGAGGCACACACAAAAAAGTTGCATTTGAATTTGGCAATCTATTCAACTCTTACTTTTCTGGCAGTGGTTGGTGGTCCAGCAGCGGTAGTTGTACTCATTGTTAATGGAGGTCTTCTCACACAATGGCTTCTCTTCCATCGTCCCTGGACACAAGTCCCCACACTCCTTTGAAGGTTTATTCCCAATTATGTAGTTGTTGGACACTGCATCTAGTATCAGAGACCAGTCCACCGTGGAGAGGTAACACAGGTCAGAGTTTTTCTCGATCCGGATGGCCCCTCGGGTGATGTTCCTCAGATTGTAAAGCCCAATTTCTTTGAGGTTAGTCATCTCAAAGATAACCAGGGCATAGTTGTAGAAGAGGTTCCGCCCGCGAATGACCGTGAGGTTGGGAAAGAGATCGCTGAGGCTCTCTAAGCCTGCCACGCGGAACAGCAGCAAGTAGTCGGTGATAACTGTGAGCTTTGGGAAGCGGAAGTTGCGGTAGTCCTCTGCCTTGGAGATTAGCAGAATCTGGAGGAAACCCTCAATTACCGTGCAGTTCTCTAAGCGCTTCAGCTCATGGATATCATTGCGAATGTCGACATTTGGCCCACAAACTGAAAACACAAGGAAAAAAAATCCTTAATCAACTTCAACAAGTTTTTAAACTTTAAAACAAAATTAAGGCAAATTAAATTGAAACAGCTCTGACTGAACATTTTGTCTGCCATAAAATTTTAACTCCACAATTAAGCTGTAATTTTAAAATAAGAATAAGCACATAATTTGGGCCTACTATTGAATATGCGACTTTCATTTTATCTCATTTAACTGATCAGTGTTAATATTACATGCAAAAGAAGAGCGCTAGAAGCACACATACTCTGCAGTGGGTACAAAACTGATGCTTTCTTATTGCTGCTGCAAGCGAGCCTGGATTTTACCATGGAATAAGAATAGAATACACAGTGCTTCAATTAATTCAACAAAACAGGTCACAACTTTTAGGGGCGATCTTTTCTGTGGTGATGGGCTGGGATTTCAATCACATGATTCCCAGGGAGTTTAATGAGAGGACTACACCTAAAATATATATAAATATATATAAAACTTTAACCCTTAGATTACTAATTTAAAGCTCAGAAGAAACTAAAGCATTGGAGAACACAGTATATTTGGCTTCAACCCTCTAAATCCGCAAACCATTCACAACACCAAAACCTACTCTACTTTCCCAGGTTCTCAAGCCAACTTGGCCCCCACACCAGAACATAGGAGCTTACAAAAGATCTGTAACATTACAAAAATACACAATGCTACTCAGCACTTCCTGTTCTGCAAGCATTAGGAAAAGAAAGTGTTCTGACTTGTTTCTAATTCATGGAGTTCCTGTTTGCATGCACTCCAGTGAACCCAAGTTTCACTAATTCTGGCACAAACCCACAGTGGAGTTCCTGAAGCCCTAAGAAAAACAGGATAAACAACAGACTTATTTACAAGAATACTTATTTGAGTCATAATGAGGAATTTCCCTTGAAAACACTAGATTGAACCCAATGTATTTTCATGAAGTCAGCTGTCAATAGGACAGGAAAAAAATATATGGGGAAACAGCTTCATAACCAACTTAAGTTGTCTGACTTTTCACATCTGGCAAGAAAATGCATACAAAAGGAAAAAGAAACTAAACAGAAAAAGCCCTCTATTATGTCAATGCCATAATCACTCAAAATAGATGGGCCCATACATTTTTGAAAGATTGTATTAATAAGTACAAGAATTAACTACATAAGCAGCTCTCTATAAATATAAAACAAAGATGCATGGTCTTCTCTAGGGAACAAGAAACCACCTGAAAACCACAAAGCGCAAGGATGAGAGCCCAAGAGTCAGTTGTTCTTGAACTCACTGACAACATCGATCTTTGAGGTATTTGGTGGAAGAAATGGAAAAAGGATGCTCTAATACGGACAATACAAATAAGGCATTGTGAGCTAAAGGAAAATGACAGTTTGTTTAAAGCAAGCTTACACAGGGATCTAGTTGGATGGGGAGGCTATTTGTCTTGTTTTATGCATATTAAACTTAATTATTTTACCACCAACTTTCTCTGAGAAGAGAGTTTGGTCTAGACACAAGCAAATTCTAATACCAACGAAAACTGTCCAGAGCTTCACAAATTGCTTTAGCAACAGAAAGCAGTCCTGTCGTCCCAAAACACCCAGCTAAGACTATTACCGCAAGTTAACAAAGGATCTGAAACATGAACATGCTTAAATCATAGCAGCTTTAACATCCAACAAGGACTTAAAGGTAGTTAACATCCCAAGGGATCAGCTGGAGTTAGTGTACACATTGTGACGTCATGCAGTCTATATGGTTTTATAAAAATATAAATTAATATAATGTAACTGGGATATGCTTCATGCACAAGGTCTCTTGCAAGGTATCATTACAAAGCTCATAATCTACTGAGTGTGATCATCCTATTTGTAGAAATGTACCACTCCTGTATCTAAAACTAGAAATATAAAACATAACTCTGAGGGCCTATTGTAATTATGTAAAGCGTGGGCCATTAAGGATGGTTTGGAATCTTGTTGACTCCCATTGTCTGCAGATGGCTGTATTTACCTGTGAATCTTCCTGTATATGTGTGTGCTGGCAAGTGAGTAATGAAGTCTTGCAGTGACATGTGATCATGTCACCTGAACTGGAATCCATCTTTAACCTGGTGCTTTTCCAGTGAGGGGGTGGGGGGTGGAAACCCAGAGGGACAAAGGGTTCCCGCCTTATGCAAAAGATATATAAAGGAGTGGAAGAGAACAAGGGGAGAGAGGAGCCATCATGAAGAATCCCCTAGCTATCACCTGAGCTGCAACAAGAGCTGTACCAGGGGAAAGAATTGTGCCCAGGCCTGGAAGGTGTCCAGTCTGAGAAAAACTCACTGAAGCATCTCTGAGGGTGAGATTATCTGTATTTAGTTTGATCAGACATAGATTTGCGCATTTCATTTTATTTTACTTGGTGACTTACTTTGTTCTGTCTGTTACTACTTGGAACCACTTAAATCCTACTGTCTGTATTTAATAAAATCACTTTTTATTTAGTAATTTACTCAGAGTATGTATTAATACCTGGGGGAGCAAACAGCTGTGCATCTCTCTCTATCAGTGTTATAGAGGGCGAACAATTTATGAGTTTGCCCTGCATAAACTTTATGCAGAGTAAAACGGATTTATCTGGGTTTAGACCCCATTGGGAGTTGGGCATCGGAGTGCTAAAGACAAGCACACTTCTGTGAGCTGTTTTCAGGTAAACTTGCAGCTTTGGGGCAAGTGATTCAGACCCTGGGTCTGCGTTGGGGCAGACGGGAGTGTCTGGCTCAGCAAGACAGGGTGCTGGAGTCCTGAGCTGGCAGGGAAAACAGAAGCAGGGGTAGTCTTTGCACATCAGGTGGCAGCTCCCAAGGGGGTTTCTGTGATCCAACCCGTCACACACATTATAGACAAAGAGGAAAAATATAAATTTCACTCTTTTGGGGAGTACAGGAAGATAACAGGAGAGGATAGTCTGGTTGATGAAGCTGGCAGAAGCCAGACTACAAGAGTTAAAGAAATCCAATCCATAAAACCTGTGATAAAAGCTGTAAAGGGCGGGGAGAAATCTGTCAGAGGAATTCTAGGATGTCTGAGCGTGGAAATGAATCAAGGTTTCTAGCACTGTATGTCGTTCAGGATTTGGATGAGCAGACAGACTGGCACCTACAATTGCCAGCTTAGAAAGGTCTCTCCAGGCAAACATTAAAATCGTGTGAAATGGAACAACTGCAATTAGAGCGAAAGAGAAAGACTTGGCTTTGGGTCTGACCCTGAATTTCAGTCTTAGAAACTGAAATTCCCCAGTATAAGGGAGGGCGGGGGGAGAATGAACTCAACTGAGTCTTCAATTCTCTGCTCCTTCACAATCCTGCTATACTGGTTTTTAATCATACATCTCAATGATTAGGCGATCATGCTTACTGGTCATTCTTCTACAAGTTTCAGAGTAGCAGCCGTGTTAGTCTGTATCCGCAAAAAGATATGATATGCATATGATTCTATATGCATCCGAAGAAGTGGGCTGTAGTCCACGAAAGCTTATGCTCTAATAAATTTGTTAGTCTCTAAGGTGCCACAAGTACTTCCATTCTTCTACAAGCCTCTCCCCACATCCCTCAGCTCCATTTTTTATCTAGCCCCCTTTTTCCTTTCACTGCGATTCCAGTCTCTGAGATCTGCTCTTCATCCATTCTCTCTGCTTGGTTAAGACTCATCAAGTCTGACAAGCCTCTACGGGAGAACCCGAACACCATTCCTCTCCTCCTGAACTTGTGAGGGAAAGCCACAACACAGCACAACAGAAGATCAATAGCATGGTCTTACAATGCAGTTTAATGAAACTTCCTTTTAAAGAAAACCAAAATAAAAAGACAGGGTAGGCCTGATCCCAGAGTGTCTGTTCTGACAAAATGGGAATACCGTTATAATGCTAACACAGGCTGTTCCTTTTCTGGAAAGAGACCCCAAAAAAAAAAAAAGGTACAAATGCCATGTTTTTCCAACTAAATCAGTTTATTTTTTGTCTCCACCTGCTGAAAGGAAAGAGTACCCTACAGTTCCTATTAAGCTACAGGAAATGGAGCAGAATTTATTCTTAGTGCAATAAAATTTTAGAAAGCTTGACTGCTCCAAGATCTTCATTTTGTTAAAGAAATAAAATTTGCACTTAGGTTGACCTTTTGTAGGCTAAGTTCCAGGGTGATGGGGTTTAAAAAACAGCTGAGTTATAAGAGAAATGACAGCAACTCTTATCTAAAGCCTTATAAGATCTGTACACATGTATGTGTTTCAAGACCAGGCTTAGAGAGTCATTGTTTTTAGTTTTATGTTTGCCCCTGCTTGAAAGTTACTTAATTTTAGATACTTAATGTTTTTATACATCAGTAAGGGATCAGGACTTTCTGGCAACAATATAAACTAATTTGCCTCGATTATGAAACACCATCTTCCTAATAAGAAAAATGATGGAGTCCAGGGGGTTTCAATGTTAGAGCAATTGCTTACATGTGAATGTGCCACTGACATTTCTTAATGTAAGACCTGGCTTTTTTTAGTTTGTTATCTATTAAGTTATATGTTTTGTAGAACTAATAATGAAGATAATGAAAATCACAAAGCACCAAACATGAAACAGGGAAAACCCCTTGTTTCATATTACACCTGGCAAATTCTACCTTTCTGGTAAAGGGGAAATGTCTCCAAGTTCATGGGATAAATGAAAAAAAGACCTTTTTATTTAAGTTTGGCCACTGTTATGCTTTGCTGTCTCATTTCTTTTAGAAGTTCACATTGTCCATGAAAGTTAGTTACTACATAATGCATCATCTTTTCCTCACTTTTGTTCACTGTCCTGAAAGGGCTTATATGAAAAACAAATTAATCTGAGATCAAAGACTACTACAGTTTCAATTTGGCCATGTTGTGTTTTCTTTGGACCACATTTAGGGACTGTGTGTTTAGATTTACAATATAAACTGGTCTCTCAAATGGACAGAAACACACTATAATGTCCTTTA